TATGTCACAACTGAACACTTGTTCAGGTTTCAGTCCTTCAGCCTCTATGTACTCCTGGAATTCATGCACATATTTTTCAGGCTCCTTGTGGTCCAAACTGGCAGCCTCACCATGCCTTACCACACTGTGTATGCCAGTATGGTTCTTAAATCTCTCAAACCAACCTTTGCTGGCCTTGAATTCACTCAATCACCACTATTTTCAGGCAATTTCTTTACCAGATCGTTGTGCAACTGCCTAGCCTTTTCACAAATAGTCGAAGTCATAAGCGTATCTCGTGCTAATTGTTTCTCATTTATCCACACCAATAATAACTTCTCAACCTCTTCGAGTACTGGTGATCTCATTTTTGTCAGCATAGTTACCCCCTTTGCAACAACAGCATCCTTGATTTCCTTTTTCTTGGCCACTATGGAACATATGGTTATGTAGGGTTTCTTGTACATCCTGGCCAGTTCAGCCACACTTGTACCACTTTCATATTGTTCAATAATGTTTTTCATAAATTCAATCGTATTTCTCACCTTTCTTTACCACAGGCTTGGCACTAGGAGCTTTCTTTGGAGCCATAGTACCTTATTTAGTACTTACAAGCACTAAAATAAATGGAATACAGTGGTCCCTCAATAATCGTCCGGCCTGAAAGTCGTCCATTTCGGAAACAGTCCTGTTTTTTCATCAATATTGGCTCGCAAATGGTCCGGTAACTCGCTAATAGTCCTTCGTCCTGGACGCGTACTCACGCTCTGAGCCGCCTCGGCCTTTCCTTCCCAGCCAGTGTGCCATTGTTTACCAGTGAGTGACGGTCCCCTCACATGCTCCTACAAAATATTTCATAATATTCCATTGATTTTAGTGCTTGCAAGTGTTAAATAAGCTACCATGGCTCCAAATAAAGCTTCTAGTGCCAGCCTTTTGGTAAAGAATGTGAGAAACATAATTTATGAAAAAGTTTGTAGAAAAATACAAAGATGGTGGTGGTAGTGGAAGCAGTTATGATAGTGGTTGATGAACATAAGAAAGGAGGATCACTGCAGCAGGCCTGTTGGCCCATGCTTGGCAGGTCCTTTACAATTCATCCCACTAACGAAACATTTTCCCAACCCAGTCCTCAATGCTACCCAAGAAATAGGCTCTGATAACTCTATCCACTCATTTGCAAGTCCCAAATGAGTGGATAGAGTTATCAGAGCTTATTTCTTGGGTAGCATTGAGGACTGGGTTGGGAAAATGTTTTGTTAGTGAGATGAATTGTAAAGGACCTGCCGAGCATGGGCCAACAGGCCTGCTGCAGTGATCCTCCTTTCTTATGTTCTTATGTTCATCAACCACTATCACAACTGCTTCCACTCTACCACCACCATCTTCGTATTTTTCTACAAACTTTTTCATAAATTATGTGTTTCTCACATTCTTTACCGAAGGGCTGGCACTAGAAGCTTTCTTTGGTGGTAGTGATGGTGGTAGAAGGTACTAGTGATGGTGATAACAGTTGTAATAGTGGTAGAAGGTCGTAGTGATGGTGGTAGAGGGTTCCTTCTTTAGTGATTCAGCGATTCTACCAACTCCTCCAGTGTTGGAAATAAATGGTATAAAATACCGACACAATGGAAATATAAACACAAATGCAGTATAATGTGATCCTTTATTGACAACGTTTCACCCACACAGTGGGCTTTTTCAAGTCACACACGGATCTACCTGGGGTTGGAAGGTACGAGAGTATTTATAGTCAGAATGTTGAGGTCAGGTGGAGAATGCTGCATCTGATGATCTACCGGGTGGGGTTATAGACTCTTGGGTAGCTTGGCAGGGGTATTGGACAAGTTGTAGACCTTCTGCAGTGTTCTATGTTCTTATGTGGGATAGCGATGAAGAAGTTTCTTGGCGAGTGGTTCAGCTATGTTATAGAAGCCATTGTTCTGGTTGAAATTGTTGGTTATAGAGATAAGCGATGATTCCAGGATTCTTCTGTATCGAGTGTTGTCTTCTGTGGCTGTAAGTCTTGAGTTTCTGTAGTTAATTAAATGGTTGTGTGAATTGCGATGTTGTACACAGGCATTCCTTGTATCGTCAGTCCTGCTTGCATATTGGTGTTCTGAAATGCGTGTTTGGAGGTCTCTTGATGTTTCGCCCACATATAATTTGTTGCAGTCATTACAAGGGATTATGTATACCCCTGCAGAGGATGGAGGCTTGTCCTGTCTACTACTGGTGATGTCCTTGATGGTCGTGGTTGTGGAGGTAGATACTTGGAATGATGTTTTGGCAAAGATGTTGGAAACATCTGCAGCAATGAGTTCCTTGAGGAAGAATGCACTATAATTGAACAAGTATTTTCTAAACTCCACTATCCTCGTCACTTCATCAGAGACTGCAGATGGCGGGCATTAAACATCTTCAACACACCCAGAGAAGACACTGCCGAGAAGAGATACATAGTCCTCCCCAACAACTCCATTGCCAAACATGTTTCCAACATCTTTGCCAAAACATCATTCCAAGTATCTACCTCCACAACCACGACCATCAAGGACATCACCAGTAGTAGACAGGACAAGCCTCCATCCTCTGCAGGGGTATACATAATCCCTTGTAATGACTGCAACAAATTATATGTGGGCGAAACATCAAGAGACCTCCAAACACGCATTTCAGAACACCAATATGCAAGCAGGACTGACGATACAAGGAATGCCTGTGTACAACATCGCAATTCACACAACCATTTAATTAACTACAGAAACTCAAGACTTACAGCCACAGAAGACAACACTCGATACAGAAGAATCCTGGAATCATCGCTTATCTCTATAACCAACAATTTCAACCAGAACAATGGCTTCTATAACATAGCTGAACCACTCGCCAAGAAACTTCTTCATCGCTATCCCACATAAGAACATAGAACACTGCAGAAGGTCTACAACTTGTCCAATACCCCTGCCAAGCTACCCAAGAGTCTATAACCCCACCCGGTAGATCATCAGATGCAGCATTCTCCACCTGACCTCAACATTCTGACTATAAATACTCTCGTACCTTCCAACCCCAGGTAGATCCGTGTGTGACTTGAAAAAGCCCACTGTGTGGGTGAAACGTTGTCAATAAAGGATCACATTATACTGCATTTGTGTTTATATTTCCTCCAGTGTTGTTGGAGTTATATAGGGCTACAAAAACCACCGCCGCCTCACCACCATTATGGACAGCTTACACTCAGTGGCCCTTATATACCCAACAACAACACAACACAACACCTCTCGTGACATACGTAATGACTTATTTTATTCATTCTACAGTATATTCCATGTTTCTATGTTATTAATATTGTTTATTATGTCATATTAGTTGAATTGTGATAGATAAATAAGCCCTAGAGTTGATATTAGTGTCATATTCTCCAACAATAAACTTGCCATCCCTCCCTCACACAAATAGCCAATAAGAACATAACAGTGGAAGAACACTGCAGGTCTACTGGCCCATACAAGGCAGGTCCTTATCAAAATGACCTCCACCCAAAGCTACCCAAGAATTTACTACCGTACCCAATGGCACAAATCAAACTCAGCTCCTCCAACTCATATATTTGTCCAATCTCTTCTTGAAGCTACCCAAGGTCCTAGCCTCGATCACCCTACTGATAAGTGTGATGTTAAATAAGAACTTAAGAAAGTAGGAACACTGGAACAGGCCTGCTGGCCCATACTAGGCCGGTCCTTCACAAATCCAACCCACTAACAGAACAAATGCTACCCAAGTAATAAACTCACGTGCAAGTCCGACTCAAATCCAACCCCTTTCACTCGTGTATTTATCCAACCTAAATTTGAAACTACCCAAGCCATAGCTTTTAGAACATTGGAAAGGAGGAACACTGCAATAAGCCTGTTGGCCCATACTAGGCGGGTCCTTCACAAATCCAACCCACTAACAGAACAAATGCTACCCAAGCAATAAGCTCAGGTGCAAGTCTGACTCAAATCCAACCCCTCTCACTCGTGTATTTATCCAACCTAAATTTGAAACTACCCAATGTTTTAGTTTCGATCACCCTACTAGGCAGACAGTTCCACTCATCAACTACCCCTATTACCAATGTTCATTTATACATTTTATTAGTGCCCTAGAGTCCTTATGGAGGGGGATTCTCCTTCCAAATAACCTCTCTTCCCTCTCTCCTCCTCCCTGTCTTCCATTCATCAACAACAGCCTTCAATAAAGGTAACTGTCATGTTGAATGTTCATTCTTTTGTGCATGTAAATCTATCTTTTAGGTAAAAAAAAAAATTGTTGTTGATACTTCTGGGTGTCTGGAACGAATTAATTGGATTTACATTATTTCTTATGGGGAAAATTGATTCGAAAATCGTCCATTTCGATAATAGTCCCACTTCCAGGAACGGATTATGGACGATTATTGAGGGACCACTGTGTTATGAAATATTTCACTGGAGCATGTGAGGGGATCTTTGCTCACTGGTAAACAATGCTAGACTGGCTGCTGCCCCGGCTCATGCCGTGGGTACGCGTCCCGGACGAACTACGACTCGCGAGTCAACCTATGAAAAGCAAGCCCATGTTTATACGAAAATACCCCTATGATTTCCGACATCTATGATTGCCGAGAACTACGAAAAGCGAGGGACCACTGTATTAGGAACAGAACTCTGTCGTAAAGTGAGGAGAGGCTGTACTTTTTTCTGTCTAAATCCAAACTGACAGGGGTTAGTATGTTGTGGGATACAAAGTAGGAGTAGACTAGTTTGTGAATTAATTTTTTGAAGATTTTAGATAGTAGGGGCAAGTTTGATATGGGCCTATAATTTGCATAGTTTGCGTTATAATTTGCTTAGTGTCTTTCACTGTCATGCTAGGAAACTTACCTTAATGATATATTTTGGCCTAGTAAAGAGTTAGCTTTTGAAATTACATGTTAGATTCACAGACAACTGTATGTAACCTCTAATATCTAAGAGTGTGTCTTTTCCTCTCAGAATATTACCTCCATGTATGATCAGTTGGAAAATCTGACTGATGAAGAACTCTCGGAAAACATTCTGCGTGAAGCCAAGCAACTGGGCTTCTCAGACAAGCAGATTGGTAAAGCTGTCCAGTGCACTGAGCTTGCTGTACGAGCTCTCAGGGAAAAACATGGTTAGTAAAAGTTTAAAATTTTATTTTGTTAAAATTTTAAAATTTGTTTCAAGTTTTTTATTAGGATGTTTTTTAATATATGATTACATTAAAGAAGATTATAGAGGAATTGAGCTCAAAATAATAATAATAACCCTTTGACTGTTTCGGTCATATATATAGTACGTCTTAGGCGCCACTGTTTGACATATTTATACGCGTAAATTCTAGCAGCTTCAGATCAAGCGGGAGAAAGCTGGTAGGCCTACATGAGGGAGAATGGGTCTGAATGGTGGGTGTGCACCCTGTGAAAAAATCTGGGGCTCAGTCGTGCATTGTGGGAACACCATCTTGGTAGTCCATTTTCACCATGCCTTGCAGTAAGAAGTACCTCACTCCTCGACAGATTGAACAACACAAGAACACACAAGAAAGGAGGAACACTGCAGGAGGCCTGTTGGCCCATACTAGGCAGGTCCTTTATAATTCGTCCCACTAACAAAACATTTGCCCAACCCAATTTTCAATGCCACCCAAGAAATAAGCTCTGATGTGAAAGTCCCACTCAAATCCAACCCCTCCCACTCATGTACTTATCCAACCTAAATTTGAAACTACCCAAAGTCCCAGCCTCAACCCAACTAGGTAGACTGTTCCACTCATCAACTACCCTATTTCCAAACCGATACTTTCCTATGTCCTTTCTAAATCTAAACTTATCTAATTTAAATCCATCACTGCGGGTTCTCTCTTGGAGAGACATCCTCAAGACCTTATTAATATCCCCTTTATTAATACCTATCTTCCACTTACACACTTCGATCAGGTCTCCCCTCATTCTTCGTCTAACAAGTGAATGTAACTTAAGAGTCTTCAATCTTTCTTCATAAGGAAGATTTCTAATGCTATGTATTAATTTAGTCATCCTATGCTGAATGTTTTCTAACGAATTTATGTCCATTCTGTAATATGGAGACCAGAACTGAGCTGCATAATCTAGGTGAGGCCTTACTAATGATGTATAAAGCTGCAGTATGACCTCTGGACTTCTGTTGCTTACACTTCTTGATATAAATCCCAGTAATCTATTTGCCTTATTACGTACGCTTAGGCATTGCTGTCTTGGTTTAAGGTTGCTGCTCACCATAACCCCCAAGTCCTTTTCGCAATCTGTATGGCTAAGTTCTTCATCATTTAACTCATAAGTACTAGGGTTATGGACACTCCCGAGCTTCAGAACCTTGCATTTATCTACATTGAACTGCATCTGCCACTTTTCTGACCAAGAATAGTGTGTTTAAATCCTCCTGAAGTTCCATAACATCTACGTTTGAATCAATTATCTTACCTATCTTTGTGTCATCGGTGAATTTGCTCATATCACTAGTAATTCCCTCAAGATCATTGATATATATTATAAACAACAACGGGCCCAAGACTGATCCCTGTGGAACGCCACTTGTTACAGATCCCCACTCGGATTTAACCCCATTTATGGACACTCTCTGCTTCCTTGGAGGTCTTTTGTTCCCAAGTGATAGCTCTATCAATGATGAAAGTGTCAGTGAAAGTGAATTACATAGTTTTCAAGCGGGTGTGACCAAAAACAGTGCCCAGGATAACATAATTAGTGATGAAAACCCAGATGACCCACGACATTGCACCTCTGGTGCTAGGCTGGCTTGTTCACATTCACTTGTACCAGGACGAAAGAGGGAACTATTTGCCCATGTACAAGACTCAGATGTGAGCAGTGATAGTGATTTCAAAGCTGTTGAAAGCAGTTCTAGTTGCGACAGTGAGGGTGAATATTCCCCAGTGAAGCGACGTAGCTTGCGGTCTGGTAGTGTCATATGTTGTTCCAAGGGGAAAGAGTAAATCTCGGAGCACATCCCGTGGCCCTACACCACGACCTGATAGTGAAGATGACGATATTGTTATGATGGGTATGAATGGTGTGAGTGAGGCAGCAGGCAGTGGTGGTGGTGATAGTGATGGTGGCATGAGTCATGTGGCACCAGCAGCGGGCCATACTACTACCGATGTTAAACAAGTGTAGGATGTCTTATTCATCTGTGTATTCTAGTTGTTTTGTGGACCCCTATGATTGTAGTGCTTCCTTATCAATATAAAATAGTAGTTGTTTTGCTATTCATGACATGAATTAAATTTTTTTTTTTCAGTTGAAAACTGTTATTGTGGGCCATCATATCCTGACATATAGAGGTGGTGGCTTGTATCAGTCACACAGTACTTTATAAGATTAATTATATATTTGTCTGAATATAATGGTAAGGAAAGAGTTAGGAACATAAATGCAAGGATAGTAATGGGCAGAGATGCTGACCCTTTAGTTCAATTATTACTTCAGTCCCAATATGACTCGGTTTTTAGCGAGCCACTAACCAGACTGAGAGTCGAAGACCTAAATGAATTTTTTATGAGCGAGACACAGAATTTGGTAGATTCAAACAACAGTAAACCATCTCAGACCACTAATCACCCAACAAAAGGCTGCAGTCAGAATGATGATAAATTCCCACTACAGACAGCACACTTCACCAATATTCAAAACTCTAAACCTACTCACAATACAAAACATCCATACTTATTACTGCACCTACTACATACATAGAACACTTAACTCTGACATAAACCCTCCCCTCAAACATCTCCTTACCAACCTCAGCAGAACACATGGCCATAACACAAGGCACAGATCACTCTTTGATGTTCCTCGTGTCCATTGCACGCTATGCAAAAACTCAATGCACATAAAAGGCCCTAAAATCTGGAATTCATTACCTGTGAATATAAAAGAAACACTGTTTATAAATTCAAGTCTCTTCTCAAAAATCACTTACTCACCCACAACTAAATAAATACTGAGTAATTGTATCTCATAAATTGTATCTCATATATGTATCTCATTATTGTATCTCATAAATGTCAACCTGTGACCCAATCAAACTTTGTTACTAATTAACTTCATTACCTAACAGAATACTCCATTCTACTGATTACACAGCAACACAGTAAATGACCATATGACCTGTCTTTGTAATACTCATTTGTACTAAATTGTTATCTGTTTTACAATAATTTTTGTACCACTGAATATATCATTGCTTAGTTAATTTTAAGTTAATTTTAAGCTGCCCATAATGCTCTGCATACAAGGGGCTTTGGCATGCTGCACTTTAAAAATTGTATTTCTTGTACTTCTCTGCATCATGTTCAAATTAATAAATTAATAAAATTAATAAATAAATAAATATATGAAATTTTTTTTTAGTTCAAGTTGCTTAATTGCTCTAGCAAATTTTTTTTCATTAACTTTGTCAATTTAATATTCCTGTATGCATTTTTTATGGGCTGAAATGTTTGTTTTCACAGCTCTCAAGTATGTTATGTGTGCAGTAATGAGTTTGACTTTACTTGCTCAGGTATCCTGCCAGTAGTGAAGCAGGTGGACACAGTGTCAGCAGAGTGGCCAGCAACCACCAACTACCTTTACATTACTTACTGTGGCAAGGACCATGACCTTGCCTTCCCTCCAGGCGCCACAATGGTTCTAGGTATGTCTGTCTCTGCCTCTTCCTACACATCTTGCCACTAAACTAAGTTCTATTTTTTAATATTAATAATAGCTGGTATTGTGTATATTTCATGATGCTAGCTCACATATGTTTAACCCTTTAACTCTTTCAGGTCGAGAGGTCCTCTCCTAAACTTGTTCTCAGGGTCGAAAAATTTTCGGAAAATTTTTTTTTTTCTTATGAAAAGATAGAGAATCTCTTCCTGATCATAATGACGCCAAAAGTATGAAATTTGAGGGAAAACTTAGGGAATTATGCTCTCGCGAAGTTAGTGGTCTCGATGATGATTACGCATCAGCGATTTCGCCCAATTTGAGCCCTATTTTCGGCCAATTCCAGGGTACTAGTCGTCAAAAATCATAACTATTTCGCAGGAACTCCATTTTTTTCTATGAATAAGTACAAGAAACCACCCATTTACTGATTTCAACTTTCCAATAAAGTGGTCAGAAATTAGCAATTTTGCCAATTTCACACAAATTTCAGATGATGCCAATTTCCAAATAGGGCCCAGAATAAACAAGACAGACATTCCTGGCACTAAAATAACATTTCCTCTGTTCATTAGTCACATCCCCAGGCACCTCTTACATTTCTTTTGCTTTCCACTTTGAATTTTTATTCTCACAAACAATAGAAGATTTACTGTTACGCAAACTACTGCATTAGTGTAGAAATAGTATAAATAATATCAATGCACTTGTAAAAGAATATTAGACTCACCAGTTGACGTGTATTGGACGCTTGGCATGATTTGTTTACTTTTGAACTTTGGCAAAAATCAAACATTTCTGCTACTTTAGGCTCAATTTCAAGGTACTTTTCATTGTGAAACCAATCAAAATCATCTCAATTTCTGTAATATATCTTCCATTCTATAAAATGAGACCAGGAAAACTAGAATACAACCATAAATACTGTATGAAAATAGTGGAAAGTCGCTGTTTTAAACAAAAAACATGGTCAAAGTTTTTTTTTTCTCATTACGCACTGTGTGCTGCAGGATTTTTTTTATATTGTGCACGCTGACCACATAGACCCATTCTTTCATACATAGGCCTACCAGCTTTCTCTTAGTAGATTTGAAGGCGCTAGAATTTAGGCACACTAGTACATCAATAACCCTAGTGAGTAAGCCATACTAGTACGTCGGAAACCCTGAAAGGGTTAACTGCCCAAACATGCATCTACATTCTTGCTTCTAGCACTCCAAACATACATTGACATTTTATTTTTCCTTCAAATTTGACACTAGAGGTCTCGTATGCCTAGGTAGTATAGAATCTTTTTCTGAAAGTAATAAAACAAAGTACAAAATTTGATGGAAAATTGATGAAATTATGCTCTCGCGAATTTTGAGGTGTCAGCGATATTTACGAATCGGCGATTTTGCCGACTTCGACTCCCATTTTAGGTCAATTACATTATTTCAGCCGACCAAATTCTTAGCTATTTCATTAGTATTACTTCTATTCTATCGATTGAGCACAAGAAATCACCAAGTCGGCTGTTTCAATTACAAAATAAAGTGATCGGAAATTGGTAATTTGGCCAATTTAACACAGTTCAAAATATTCCAGTTTCAAAATAGGGTCCAGAATAAACAATGTAGGTATTCCTGGCACTAAACTAACATTTCCTCTGTTCATTAGTTACATATTGAGGCTTTACAAATGAATTCCATTTTGATTTTTTATTCACATAATGAATTTTTATTCAAACCAAAAAATAGAAGATTTACTGTTATGCAATATTGTAATAATTGTATAAATATCATCACCACATTTGTGAATGTATATTAGACCCACCAGCTGGCGTGTATTAGATGTGTGAAGTCATTTGTTTAATCTTGAACATCGGCAAAAATTTAACATTTCCGCTACTTTGAGCTCGGTTTCAAGCCATTTCCAGTGCTAAAACCAATCAAAATCATCTCTATTTCTGTAATATGTCTTCCATTCTATGAAATGAGACCAAGTAATCGCAGATACAACTATAAAAAAACATACAAAAAACACTGCAGATTCACTGTTTTAATCGAAAATCACAGTCTCGGTTTTTTCCTCTCGTTATACACTGTGTGCTGCAGGATTTGTTTTATGTGGTGAACACATACCACATAGATGTATTCTATCATATCTAGGCCCAAATTTACTACTCACAGCTTATCAGAGTGAGCTGAGCTCATGGCGTAGGTCTATGGTTTAGACCCTGAACGTAAAGCCATAGATATACGGCATGGACCCTGAAAGGGTTACCACTCAGTGTGTGCAGTATTAAAAAAAACCTGCGACCATTTGGTACCTTGTGGGAACACCAGTTAATTTGAGCGCCAGCTAGAGCAAACAGCGTGACAAACCCCAGTATGGGCGGAGAGAGAGGCGGAGACCGGGAGGGCGGATGGTTAGAGACGGAGGGCGGAACGGAGGGCAGAGACGGGGAGGGCGAGAGGGACCACGTGGGGCGGAGACGGGAGGGGGGAGAGTGGAGGGGCGGAGACGGGGACGGGGAGGCGGAGAGGGAGGCGCGAGACGGAGGAGGGCGAGAACGGAGGGGCGGAGACCCGGAGGGGCGGAGACGGAGGAGGGGCGGAGACGGGGAGGGGCGGAGACGGGGAGGGGCGGAGACGGGAGGGCGGGAGACGGGGAGGGGCGGAGACGGGGAGGGGCGGAGACGGGGAGGGGCGGAGACGGGGAGGGGCGGAGACGGGGAGGGGCGGAGACGGGGAGGGGCGGAGACGGGGAGGGGGGGCGGAGGGGGGGCGGGAGGGCGGAGCGGGGAGGGGCGGAGACGGGGAGGGGCGGAGACGGGGAGGGGCGGAGACGGGGAGGGGCGGAGACGGGGAGGGGCGGAGATGGGAGGGAGAGAGAGAGAGAGAGAGAGAGAGAGAGAGAGTGAGGTGATGAGTCCACGTGCACAACCTGGCTATGGGAAAGAGGTAATTGGCCAGCCCTTTGCTCTGAGCTCACCACCACTGTTTAGAATGCTCTTCTTCAAGGGGATGTTGACAGCCAAGTGAAAGCCTTCACTGGACACATCCTTAATCTAAAACAAGAACACATTTCTCATTGGCAATGTGTGACGAAACCTACAGATCAGCCTTGGTTTGGCTTTTGTTGCAGAGAGGCTTATACTGCTAAGTACAAGGCATGGCGAAGGTATAATAGACATCCTACCACCTATAACAGGAACTTGCACAGGCAAGCCTGTAGGCATATGGGTGACATTCAAAAGTGGGCCATTACTAAATGGGAGGTGGACACACAAAGCTAGCATCAGGTAGAGTAGGCTCCAAAATCTGGTGGTCCCTGGTCAAGGACAGACAAGGTTATCTGCCTGATGAACTCACTCCACCTCTAAATCAACAGGATGGGACCACCTCTACTAGTAGTCAAGAGAAAGCCGACTTCTTTGCCGAACACTTTGCTTCCAAAATCAAGTTCCTGGTCCAGCAAGGGACTCTCCTTGGCTAGCTGCAAGAACTTTGTCAAAACTGCCAGTGGCGACAATAAGGCAGGAGGAGGTGTATTTCTATTTTAAATCACTTGATTAAGAAAAAGCTGAGGGCACACACAAGTTAAGCCCAAGATTTCTGGGCAATGTGCAGACCAGCTAGCAGTACCTCTGACTCGCATCTTTCAGCACTGCCTAGTACAGTGTAAATGGCCTTCTCTGTGGAAAGAGGCAACTGTAATCTCTGTTCACAAAAAGAAAAGCAGAGCAGAAATCAGCAACTACAGACCAGTGTCACTGCTGTCAATCACTGGCAAGATCCTTGAGACTGTAATCTCAAGACAAATGACTACCACTCACTACTTTGTGACCGTCAATATGGCTTCAGGAAAGGTTACTCTGCTGCTGATCTATTGTTAAACCTCTCCACTAGGTGGCACCAGTCACTGAATGAATCCAAAGTCAGCTGTGTGGTAGCACTGGACATTGCTTTCGACCAGGTGTGGCACCGGGGCCTCTTAGCAAAACTGCAAGCTCTGGGAATTGCAGGCTCTACGCTATGTCTCCTCAGTGATTACCTTCATGGTAGATCTCTAATGGTAGTTCTCATTGGAATGGAAACAAGAAGACATCCTATTGGGGCAAGTGTTCCACAAAGAAGCATACTGGGACCATTGTTATGGAATGTCTACTTCAGTGACCTCCTTCATCTCATCCCAGAATCCCATGCATATGCAGACGACTGTACACTGACATTCACTTATCGAAGAGATGAAATGCCAGCTGCTCTAATTACATCAATCACCAGCTAAGAGCTATATCAGCTTGAGGAAATAGATGGCAAGTAATATTTGCACCTGAGAAAATACAAATAATGATGGTCTCTAGGCCAGTGCAGTATTAAGGATGAATCGGAGGGTGTTGGCACTTGGGGAAGAAGTTGATATCCTTGGGGTGAAATTCGACTCCAAACTGACCATGAAGAATCACGTTGTAAATCTTGCAAACAAGATAGCCAGGAAGCTTAAAGCACTTCACCAGTATCTCGCATCTGCTTGACAGTAGGGGTTGCAAAATTCTGTATGAGGCACAAGTACGCTCACATCTTGAGTATGTTCCACTTTCTTGGTTTACCTGCCCCCCCTTCTCATCTGCGACTGCTTGACAGAGTAGAGAACAGAGCAAGCTGTCTCATTTCTCGCCTGGACCAATCCTGGATAGATCTGTCATTTCAGCAGAGCCTTCAACACATGAGGGATGTGGGTGGCCTTACTGTTATGTACAAGGCCAATATTGTCCAAGTACCACACTTGGATCCACTTCTAGGACAGCGTGAAGCAAGCTTCTATACCACAAGATGGGCAGAAAGCAGCAACTTCACTGTGGCTGTACTCTTCTCCAGAACATCACTTCATCTGAGATCATTTATCCCCAGGATGACTCGAGTATGGAACACACTCGTAAAGCATTATGATGTCAATGAGATAGTCGATCAGATGGAAAATGCTGGCCCACAGATGGCTCTG